AGTCTATGGTGTATTTGTGTTCATATTGCATTTTTACTCGCTTCCGAGTCGTTCGTGAAAATGCACCGCATCACTCGTGGAAACAAACGTCAGGCACATGTTACCAAGACCTCTTCCAATCAGTACGAGAAATATTGACGGCAAATGTTGCTGAAAATATTAATTAAAGATGTTTTTACAATTCACATAATTATCACCTTGTATATAGTGGAATTGGCAGCTCCGACCAAACATTAAGGTTGATGGCATGTATATTACGGTGCCGGAAGGGATTCAGATTAGAAATACTTGTCCAAATTTCATCGACCACATTTATTGATTTCAAACTTCGAATTGTCTCGTTCAATATTCCAAAAAAACAACAACAATAGCTTTAACGGTCGCCTTAAGCTTTCAACATTACGTAATATTGGTTTGCTACTTGGGTAAGAATTGCATAATTTTAATTACTATGACATTCCCCGTAGACAAATTTAATTAAATGTGCAATATGTATGAAAACATATACATACATTTAATATCGTTGTTCTAAACTATAAATAAACTATACTGTAGACCAAATCGAACTATGATCATGACTAAAAATGTTTGCAGGACACATAGGAATATTCGTTAGCTGAAAAATCAAAACCAAAAATACGGATGTGCAATTATTGTTATTGTACGTACCAAAACACACGGTGCACATGCACATTAGAATTTTTATTGTTTGTCGAACGAATACTGGGATGTGAGCTATGATAAATCATATGTATTCTTCAACATACAAAATCAAACAAAAATATACTAAACTCCTGTGGTGAAATGCATTACTATTTGGTGAAAAAACCCGGCGTATACGTGTAGTGTAACCCTAACCCATATAATAGACATAGAAGTCTCTCTGGCCTGGACTTAATCGTTTCTCAAAACCAACAGTTACAATGCATTGTATTATTGTAGTTATAATAATGCTCATCATCTTCATATTGCTCTTTCACAATTAACGTCGCTCTCCCAATTCTGCTCTTTAAATTACCAAACAAGGGTCAATGCCCGAAACGTCTAGCTATGTTGAATAGTTACTAAGAACTGTTATTACGAGTTATCCTCTACTAAGCACCAAAACACAGTTTGGCTAGGGGCAGAATATTACCGTCAATATCTTAGAGAAGTCATGCTAATGCACAACGAATAATATAATCAATATAATCATGGCAAATGTTCCAATTATGACGCCGGCTATATTTAACCTCAATGCGGATGTAGACGATCTATTGGCGCGGTCTCTCTGACCCAGCGATATTGCATTTCGCACCTAAGAAATAAAACAAAACATGTTTCAATGAGTAACGATCGCATATCATCAATATGTAATGACACTCATTTGAATATATCGAAACATAACATTTATAAGAAACAATTACACTACGACATTCTACGTTAAAAAAGGCGTTAACTGCGATGTAACATACAGAGTTACATACGCTCTGTGCAATTCATAGGTCTTTTTGCGAGACTGCAAGCGTTAACACACGGTGTTTTCAAACGTTGGTACAGAAAAAAACACTGCGATATTGGCCGTTAGATAATCTCTCTACAACAATTGGTACAGCATTTTTATTATTCGCTTATACCTAAACGTTCAGATACTGTAATAGGTTGTCCTGGTAACAATGCTTAGTGACTTTTATAGAATGTGTAGATCACAAATTCCTAACTCGTTTTTCCGCTGCTAAATGTGGTATATGCCATGTTGTTAGATTATATGTGTATTGAAGGTATAGGTATAGGTTCGTATTCAGTCAGGGCCTTGGCAATTATTTTATATATTTAAACTTGGCTTTGGTCTTGGCTCCATGCTGTTGCTATATCAGAACAAATGCAACATACTAACGAAAATACGCAAATCGAACGTTCTACATAATTTACGGTTTTTATTGCCATAAAAATATAACTTTCTTCTTTTGAAAGGAGCGTAATGTTCCCCTTGTATAAGATGTTAATTAGGATACCTGAATCTACAAAGCGATAATTTAATTTAACCACGACACCAAGTACTTAATATCTTTGACTTCCCTTACTTGATTGCCAAGCCTTGTTTTTATGCCAGTTTAAATGACTTCAAGCATATTATGACGTCATGATAGTTATTTTACAATCAATCATACTATACTCACTTCCATTGATTTAATTAAAGCAACTATTCCAATAATCCGAGAAAAAAATATGAGTGTCACAATGGAAAAGATCAGATAGTCTCTTGGTGGTTTCTCAACAGGATATAACTTGTATGCAGTTTCTTGTGCGAAAACCGGGAACTGCAAAAAGAATAAAAAACGCCATAACCAATTTAGTTTGTCTAATATTCAACTCTGATCAATGTTGTCCAAAGGTCATTTGACTTATTAGTAAGCGATTAGTTTTAGGACCAAAGGTCAAACATTGACAGTAAACACGTTGTCAAAAACATGCATTTTGTTTTTCTTTGTTCATGTGATAAAATATAGACAATATGAGGAATAATGAAAGAATGTGTACCTGTTCCAGATGTTGTTCCTGTTGGTAAGAGTCATAAGCAGGCGGCGGTGGCTGTGTAATGACTGGAAATGCTGGCGGGGGCTGTGTAGTAATCGGGAAGACCGACGGGGGTTGATTGCCTTGGTAAATCACAGGGTCACCTTTCACTAACTGTTCTGTAAACGAGCAACATGAATTAGAAAGTATGTAAAGCACAGTATATAGAACACATTCAAGAGGAGTTTTGTAGATTTTTTCGATAACAAAAACCCATAAATATGTTTTCTGACATTTTTTTTTAGAAACCCGAAAACTACTGTGAATTAGCGATATTGAATTACTTTTAGACTACTAACCATTTTCTGACATATTGATCACCACTCCGTGTTCCCTCTGGTTGAATTAATGGTGACTTATATCGGACAGGTGATAGCTGTGTTTAAACTGTTGACGTCATGTCATGTGATGCATATTATATTACTAATATGAACATAAATATATTATGAGGGCGCTATTCATTATCTACTGCTGTCTCAGTGAAGAATGAAGACTAAAAATTGAATGTATATTTTAACCGACAACACATATCCAAATTGCTTAGTATCTACACTGTGTAGACCCGACATGGCCTGTTGCTTTGTGATTTCGTAACGTTTGTAATTAGGTTCAGTACGTGATTTCCTAGACTAACATAGTCATTAACTTGTCATCAATTCTTGAAATTCTAACACGCCTTGCGCGACGACCATCGCCTTTTATTTGTTAATAGACGAATTTCTAACGATGCTAATGTTGGCCATTTGATGTTTTAGAGATCTCCATATTATGATATAATTTACATCCATTTGATGTTTCAGATATCTCCATACATGATATAATTTACAGCCATTTGATGTTTTAGATATCTCCATTCAATGATATAATTTACAACCATTTGATGTTTTAGATATCTTCATACAATGATATAATTTACATACATTTGATGTTTCAGATATCTCCATACATGATATAATTTACAGCCATTTGATGTTTTAGATATCTCCATACAATGATAGAATTTATAGCCATTTGATGATTCAGATATCTCCATACATGATATAATTTACAGCCATTTGATGTTTTAGATATCTCCATACAATGATATAATTTATAGCCATTTGATGTTTTAGATATCTCCATACAATGATATAATTTACAGCCATTTGATGTGTTAGGTATCTCCATACTATAATATAACTTACAACCATTTGATGTTTTAGAAATCTCCATACAATGATATAGTTTCTAGCCATTTGATGTTTTAGATATCTCCATACTATAACATAATTTATAGCCATTTGATGTTTTAGATATCTCCATACAATGATATAATTTACAACCATTTGATGTTTTAGATATCTCCATACTATGATATAATTTACAACCATTTGATGTTTTAGATATCTCCATACAATGATATAATTTATAGCCATTTGATGTTTTAGATATCTCCATACTATGATATAATTTACAGCCATTTGATGTTTTAGATATCTCCATACAATGATATAATTTACAGACATTTGATGTTTTAGATATCTCCATACTATAACATAATTTACAGCCATTTGATGTTTTAGAAATCTCCATATAATGATATAATTTACAATCATTTGATGTTTTAGATATCTCCATACCATGATATAATTATAGCCATTTGATGTTTTATATATCTCCATACTATAATAGAATTTACAACCATTTGATGTTTTAGATATCTCCATACATTAATATAATTTATAGCCATTTGATGTTTTAGATATCTCCATACTATGATATAATTTATAGCTATATGGTGTTTTATATATCTCCATACTATAATATAATTTACAGCCATTTGATATTTTAGATATCTCCATACAATGATATAATTTACAGACATTTGATGTTTCTGATATCTCCATACATTGATATAATTTATAGCCATTTGGTGTTTTATATATCTCAATACTATAATAGAATTTACAACCATTTGATGTTTTAGATATCTCCATACTATGATATAATTTATAGCTATATGGTGCTTTATATATCTCCATACTATGATATAATTTACAGACATTTGATGTTTTAGATATATCCATACTATGATATAATTTATAGTTATTTGATGTTTTAGATATCACTATACTATGGTATAATTAACAGCCATTTGATATTGTTGATATCGCTATAATATGATATAATTTATAGCCATTTGATGTCTTAGATATCACTATAATATGATATAATTAACAGCCATTTGATATTTTAGATATTGCTATAATATGATATAATTTATAGCCATTTGATGTTTTAGATATTTCCATACAATGATATAATTTACAACCATTTGATGTTTTAGATATCTCTATACTATGGTATAATTTATAGCCATTTGGTGTTTTATATATCTCCATACTATAATATAATTTACAACCATTTGATGTTTTAGATATCTCCATACATTGATATAATTTATAGCCATTTTATGTTTTAGATATCTCCATACTATGGTATAATTTATAGCCATTTGGTGTTTTATATATCCCCATACTATAATATAATTTACAACCATTTGATGTTTTAGATATCTCCATACATTGATATAATTTATAGCCATTTTATGTTTTTGATATCTCCATACTATGATATAATTTATAGCCATTTGGTGTTTTATATATCTCCATACTAAAATATAATTTACAGCCATTTGATGTTTTATATATCTCCATACAATGATATAATTTATAGCCATTTGATGTTTTATATATTGCTATAATATGATATAATTTATAGCCATTTGATGTTTTAGATATTGCTATAATATGATATAATTTACAGCCATTGGATGTTTTAGATATCTCCATACTATAATATAATTTACAGTCATTGATGTTTTAGATATCTCCATACTATAATATAATTTATAGCCATTTGATGTTTTAGATATCTCCATAATATAACATAATTTATAGCCATTTGATATTTTAGATACCTCCATACTATGATATAATTTACAACCATTTGATGTTTTAGATAAATCCACACTATGATATAATTTACAGCCATTTGATGTTTTATATATCTCCATACATTGATATAATTTACAGACATTTGATGTTTTAGATATCTCCATACTATGATATAATTTATAGCCATTTGATGTTTTAGATATCTCCATACTATAATATAATTTACAGTCATTGATGTTTTAGATATCTACATACTATAATATAATTTACAACCATTTGATGTTTTAGATATCTCCATACTATAACATAATTTATAGCCATTTGATGTTTTAGATATCTCCATACTATGATATAATTTACAACCATTTGATGTTTTAGATATCTTCATACTATAATATAATTTATAGCCATTTGATGTTTTAGATATCACCATACTATAATATAATTTATAGCCATTTGATGTTTTAGGTATCTCCATACTATGATATAATTTACAGCCATTGATGTTTTAGATATCTCCATACTATAATATAATTTATTGCTATTTGATGTTTTAGATATCTCCATACTATAACATAATTTATAGCCATTTGATGTTCTTGATATCTCCATACTATGATGTAATTTACAGCCATGTGATGTTTTAGATATCTCCATACAATGATATAATTTACAGACATTTGATGTTTTACATATCTCCATACTATAACGTAATTTACAGCCATTTGATGTTTTAGAAATCTCCATACAATGATATAATTTACAATCATTTGATGTTTTAGATATCTCCATACCATGATATAATTATAGCCATTTGATGTTTTATATATCTCCATACTATAATAGAATTTACAACCATTTGATGTTTTAGATATCTCCATACATTAATATAATTTATAGCCATTTGATGTTTTAGATATCTCCATACTATGATATAATTTATAGCTATATGGTGTTTTATATATCTCCATACTATAATATAATTTACAGCCATTTGATGTTTTATATATCTCCATACAATGATATAATTTACAGACATTTGATGTTTTAGATATCTCCATACTCTGATATAATTTATAGCCATTTGATGTTTTAGATATCACTATACTATGATATAATTAACAGCCATTTGATGTTTCAGATATCACTACACTATGATATAATTAATCAGCCATTTGATATTTTAGATATCGCTATAATATGATACAATTTATAGCCATTTGATGTTTTAGATATCACTATAATATGATATAATTTACAGCCATTGGATGTTTTAGATATCTCCATACTATAATATAATTTACAGTCATTGATGTTTTAGATATCTCCATACTATAATATAATTCACAACCATTTGATGTTTTAGATATCTCCATAATATAACATAATTTATAGCCATTTGATATTTTAGATATCTCCATACTATGATATAATTTACAACCATTTGATGTTTTAGATATCTCTATACTATGATATAATTTATAGCCATTTGATGTTTTAGATATCTCCATACTATACTATAATATAATTTACAACCATTTGATGTTTTAGATATCTCCACACAATGATATAATTTATAGCCATTTGATGTTTTAGATATTTCCATACTATAATATAATTTATAGCCAGTTGATGTTTTAGTTATCTCCACACTGCAATATAATTTACAGGCCTTTTGGTGTTTTAGATATCTCCATACAATGATATAATTTACAGACATTTGATGTTTTAGATATCTCCATACTATAATATAATTTACAGCCATTTGATGTTTTAGATATCTCCATACTATAACATAATTTATAGCCATTTGATGTTTTAGATATCTCCATACTATGATATAATTTATA